ATATCGAAATCCTCGAATCCAACATATCCAATATTCTTACCGGCAGATGATCCGTTGTATAATCCGAATCCAAATTCTACTGCGTCTCCGTACCAAATTAATGTACCTTTTTTACACGCTAATCGATCTGATGGCAACAATGATACTAACCCGGCAACGAGAAATCCTCTTCTTAGTGGACAAAATCTTGTCACTCCTTTTATTGATCTAAATAATATTTATGGTATTAGTGATCAAGATGCGATGGACAGACTTCGTGATACTTCATCCAATAGGGGGAAATTAAAGACTTCTATAATTAATGGAGAGCATTATCCTCCAAAAAATGCATCTGATGGAGAATATATTTGGGGTTCTACTTCGGATCGTTCGTATAATATATTTATTTTAGCTATTCAAACAATTTGGATACGAGAACATAATCGATTGTGTGATGAATTATATCAAAAATATGGTAATTCTTGGACTGATGAGCAATATTTTCAAGAATCAGTGAGTTTTATTTATTTACTTAATTGATTAACTTAATTGATAATTAATGTTCAAAATAATTTTTAATTTAGAGGCGTTGGGTTATTGCTTTCTTTCAAAAAATTGTTGCTGAAGAATATTTTGGTGCTGTTCTTGGTCGTCCTTTACCAGCCTACCAGAAATATAATCCTAATCTTAAACCAGGTTAGAAATATCGTTCTCCATTACTGCATAATGAGCCAACTCTAAGTTTATTAATTGTCGGGGATGATGCTGAGAATTTAATTTACTTTAATATAAAATTTAAAAAATTTTTTGGCCTATTATTTTAGCTTTTTTTTAAAGTGAGGTTAGAGTTTATAATAAAAGAATATATGTGGACTTTAGTAGAGTTTATATTCTTAAATGAGTTTATATTCTTAAATTGAGACTCCAAATTCTCAGCATCATCCCCGACATTAATTAACGTGTTTCATTCTTATATTCTGAATTTAATTATATGTTTATTTAATTATATGTTGATAGGAATTGACACGTTCTTTTCAACTGTCACATTCCGATACGGTCATAGTGAATTAAGGTTGATATTATATGACATCGCTTTTTACCGAAAATGTATCTAATTAATTCTCGAAACTATTCAGTGATTTTTACAGAATTCAAGACGATTATGGTGATACCCTTTATAATTTGGCTTTGAACGATCTTAAAAATTTCACACTTTTAGAACAACTTGGTCTAGAAAGAGTGCTTTTGTCATTAGTTCTTCAACGTCAGGAGGAAGTTGACATTTTCTTTTCAGATTCGACTAAAAAATATATTGCCCCCGACCTCGTCACTTATGATATAGCAGCTACTGACATCTTTAGAAGTAGAGATCGTGGTAAGGCATTTATCTAATCATTTAAATTCTTGAAATTCTTAAATTGCCATCTTTTCAAAATAATATTTATTGTAAATATTATTATAGGTATTCCTTTATATAATGTAATACGACAATATTATGGTTTTCCTGAAGCTAAGTCATTTGCCGATATTTCTACAAACCCTAATATTCAAGCAAACTTGGCTAAAATCTATCCAAATGGTGAATACGACTACTTATTATATGATTAATTGGTTTTACTATGATTATTAGTTTACGAATTATGTCACTCTAGGTGTTGATTCAGTGGAAGCATGGGTTGGTGTAATGAGTGAAGACCATTTAAATGGCTCAAATGTTGGCAAGGTTATAATGAATGAAAAGGATGAAATAAGTAAAGCAGAAATTTTTATATAATGCTTATATGTATTATATATATTATTGTGGATGCTTTAGAGCAAGTAGTATATTGCCATTTCGAAGTTGGAATCACGAAGAAGGAAAAATTTCGGATTATATATAATCTTTAAAAATACATCTGTAATTTTTTTTGTGGTGATGTATTTTTTCAAAAGAAAATCACTCACTTATTTGCCTGCAATGAGTTTATTTCTTGACTAATTAGGCTAAAACGATAACCATTTCCAATTTTTTTTTTGTGTAAGTTGTCAAATTATTATATAATGGTGATTAACAAGGTTAGTGCTAGTCCGGAATATCATATTGGATTGGCCGCTGTGTAACAGTATACATAGTACAGAATCGGACATCCACTATTTATGTATAAAATACTGTAATTTTAAAAATGATTATAAAAAAAACTATCTTACAGATTTGTTGCTTTCTACAATGTTGTTAGAATAGATTTTTTATTTTTCTTAGAAGATTGAAAGGTTATTCATTTCGGCGGATTGGCGGAATTGGACCTTTATTTAGATACTCTAAATTTGAACCCTAAATTTACTTATTGCGCTTTGCAAAATTCGCAATCACAATCGCAATCACGATCATGTTATAAATATTAGTACTTAAGGGGGAGTCACAGAATTTTGCGAAGTGCAATAAGTAAATCTAGGGCTCAAATTGAGTATTTAAATAATGGTTCAATTCTGCCAATCCACTGAAATGCATAACAAAAATTAAATATCAGAAATTTACACACAAATTTCTACCCTATATTTCTAAATCCCTATATATAAAAGAAATATGCATTATATATGATACTTTTCTACAATAATTCTAATATTATAACTGTTAGCACATTCAATATTACAAAATTTTCATTTAAATATTTGCTAAATTACAATGTACTCTATATGTATATAATGCAACATAAATTGTAATTTATCGTTATGTATCAATTATACCAAAATCACTTACTTAATCAGATCAGCTGAAAAATCATTCGGCAGTTTTTATCAGATGTTTCAGAATTTATGAAAACAGCTGTAGCTAAGAAACAAAAATTTAGCAGATCGGCCTGAATTATAGGTCAAATTTCATCAAATTTAGATTAGTATTAAGAAATAACAACAACTAACTGTATTATACCAAAATTATTATCAGAGAAGCTTTATTTAGTGGCTTGCTTCATTAGTAAAATTTTGAGTGTTCTTGGTCAAAATTAATCAATGCTGATGCAATCCAACCTATAATTTGGGCTGATCTGCTGAATTTTTGTTTCTCCTAATCTATCCGGTTGGTTGTGACCAGTGTTGGCCTATGAACTTAAATAACCTATATGATCTGTAATAGGTCATTTGGTTATAACTAGAGATTGTCTGCTATGCAAGATTTTACTATGCAGGCTGCATAGCCTGTGCAAGCACTGTGCAGTAGGTTGTCAAATTACCATAATTTATATAATTTTGTGAAATTTTGCATAAGTCTTCAGTAACATGGTTTTCATATAATTTGTAAGAAATATAATCATATGCTCATATGATTGGTTAGATCATATGCACATCAGTGAACTTTATGCAGAATCTACTGTAGTTCAATAATGCTAGCTAAGTTTTTTATAGTACCAGTGCATGTGAAATTTACATAAAATTCAAATTACTGAAATTTATGCAAAATTACATGAAATATCAAATTGTAATTTTTTGTAATACAACCCTACTATACAGCATAATTTTTATAATTCAGGCTAGCTGACATAATTCTGGTCAGCTTTGATTAACCATCAGAAAATCATTCTGAATCAGCCCCAAAATACAGAAAATTTGTATCATCTAATTAGTTTATAATTATAGTCAAACTTGTAAATCATTTAACCACATTTAGATCTGGTCTAATAATCTGCAAATTTGATCAGAATTATTAACAATTGGTTCCTTTTCTGTGTTATATGAAGAGATCTTTTATAAATTTATTTTTTAAAACTTTGAACAAAGCTTTTATAGCAATCAATTAATCCACTTAATCACTTTCAAGAAAATTTGTTTGATTCAAATAAAAAAAATTTTATTGAAATTTATCAGGTGGTTGTCGAGAAAGCTTCACTTAAAGGTTTGAAAAAGGTTCATCTAAATTTTTTAAACTTTAAACTATGAAACTTTTTTTTATCAGAATTCTACAAACTAGTAGAATTGAATAAAAAAAATTTTTATCAAAATTTATCAGGTGGTTGTTGAGAAAACTTCACTAAAAGTTTTAAAAAATTGTCAAAATTTATATGAAAGAGCTAGTAAAAAAAATACAAAACTCAAAAACAGATATTTAAACTGACTTTGAAGTACTAACAAAAAATAATAGAAGCCTAACTTTATATATATAAAGTAGATGATTTATATATATATGTAATCATGAACCTTAGACTCCTAGAGGGTGCAGACTATACAAACTATGCAGCCTGTATAGTAAATTCAAAAAATCTTTGATTTGCCCATCCCTAGTCATAATGAAGATTAATATAACTTATGACCTTTTTTAATATAGTAGAATTATAGTAAAGATTTTTTTATTAGTATTTAATATAACCAGATAACTATAACCAAAAATTATATGATTATATGACCAAGATTATATAGAAAAAAATATTATGATATAGATCATCAGCTATAACCAGCCAATAACAATACTGATATTTGACTAGTCAGAGGTTAGCCAACTGGTCAAAATTATAACTGATACCAGGTTTTTAATTTTCTAGCTAATAAATAATAATAATTATTATAGTTGAACTTATAAAATCATATTGGAAGATCTGTATTATCTGATAAATAGAAAAATTTATCGCTTATAAGTATGGTCAAATTTGCAGATTATTTGACCAGAACTAGAACAAACCAAATTATAGATGATATACTGATATTGTATATACACTTATTATTTTTCTAAAAAGTATTTTATATAATCAATTATAATCAATTAGCTATAAGCAATTAAGTAATAATAGCTGACCAATGACCAACTATAACCACTGAACTCACCTATAATCTTGATATGCTTGATTGATAGATATTGTGACATTATCATTGATCTAGAATAATACTTTGACAAAAAATAGATTGAATTAACTTTTATATAATTATAAAGATCATTGAATCTACATTTCTGGTTTTAGTATAATGTTGTTATATTATACAGCTACCTTATTTAATTAGTGATTGCTACAACTGGTTAAACTTATTGGTTGCACCCTACTCAATTAAAAATTTTATAATAAATCTCATTAAGAAAAATATTCATTTGCATTATAAATAGATAAATTTTGGTTTGGAGAAAATATTTATTTGTATTAGAAATAGATAAATTTTATTTCGAAAAAAATATACATTTGCATTAAAAATGAATAAATTTTGACTCAAAGAAAATATAAATTTGCATTAGAAATAGATAAATATTGACTCAGAAAAAATATTCATTTCATTAGAATTGGATAAATTTTGACTCTAAGATCAGTTTAAAAAAAATTTATATGTTGTAAAGGGGCAAATTTACACTTCAATACAAGAATATACTTTAATATTACACTAATACAAACTAAACAACTTTAACTAAACTTTAATAATGGTAAGGTTATGATCAAGACTTAAAAAACTTGATTCAAGTAACTAAGTTCAATTAGAGCTCAAGCCTATTGTAACAAATCTTTAAGATTTGTGATATAAAGAAAATGATCTTTCTTTATTTCTTTTTATAAACATGTATATTTTTTTAGTAATTATTATATTTTATTTCTATTTTCATATTATATATTTATGATAGAAATAGACAAATTCAGGTAAAACTTGTATCTACTTCAATGATAACATATGATCATCTATTTTTGTACAAATTGTATAGCACGTTAACATATTAACATATAAACATATTATTAAGGGGTAAAATTTCATTGATATCAAAAGTTCATGATAACATGCTAATGTGTTGGGCTTAAAAATTTATGACTGATTAGCACACCAGTATGCTAAAGTAGTATGTTAAAGTGCTAAAGTAACACATTAACGTGTTGAATAGTAATTAAAATATATATAAATGCTATCTCATAGCTTTTAATAAAGCAGAAGATTCTCTTTGAGTTTATTATATAATAAATAAAAGAAGTAAGCTAAGAAGTGCTGACAAGACCTTTATCATTTAAATTTGAAAATTTTTTTCTGTTAGTACTTCAAAGTCAGTTTAAATATCTGTTTTTGAGTTTTGTATTTTTTTTTACTAGCTCTTTCATATAAAT